GACTGGATGATCTTGGAGATCTTTTCCCTGTCTTTTCCCTGTTGATTCTATGATTCTGTTTGCCCCTGCAGCATGGCTGTGAAGTGGACGGGCGGGCACTCCTCCTCCATCCTGTGCCTGCAGGTGAGCACGGAGGGGCTGGTGGCGTCGGGCGCAGAGCGAGGAGAGCTGGCCCTGTGGGATGGAGGTGGCACAGCTCCAGTGGCTCAGCTCCAGCTGCCCGCGGACGACGACGTCTCCTCCGTGCTGTTCTCCACGCGCTGCCCCACCATGCTGTTCGCTGCCCACGGCCAGAGCATTGCCCTGCTGGATGTCAGGGCCCTCAAGGAGCCCCTGGAGCACTTCCACCTCAACGATGAGGAGATCAACTGCCTGTCGCTGAACCACACCGACACTCTCCTGGCCGCGGCCGATGACTCGGGGGCAATCAAGGTGGTGGACTTGGAAAGCAAGAGGGTCAGCCGCTCCCTGAGGCACTCCAACATCTGCTCCTCTGTGGCTTTCCGCCCCCAGCGGCCCCACAGCCTGGTTTCCTGCGGGCTGGACATGCAGGTGATTTGCATACATGCTTGTTAGTGAAGGGATGCAGTAATTGCCCACAGCTTTCCACCAAGAGTCAGGGTGCACAGGCTGCAGCCACCACAGAGCTCTAGCACTGTCCTACAGGAGCTTTGGCCCAAAAGCTAAGCATTGATGCTGTTTGTGCCTGTCTCTACTCAGTCCATCTCCCTGTTTTTATCTTCCTTAATTACAATCCGAGGGTGCATGAGTAGAGGAAATCAAAATACACTGCAGATCTCACTCATACCATGTTAGCTCTGTGTTGCGCTGAGCAAAACAATTCCTAGGGATGAGCTATGGCTGCAGAGGAGAGTGAGGCAAGGGCACATTGCCTGAAATTTGTACCTTTCCAGGGGGAACACATCACCGTAAGAACAAGTCATTGTTGTAATTTATCCCTTGTTCTGGTCAGTCTCTTGGAAACGTGAAATGTCCTTTGCCTTTTACACTTCTCTGTCCTTACCGAGAGGAAACTTTGTCCTTTGATTGCAAGAGGAACCGTGTCAAGAGCTAACCTGAGACCAGGGCTGGCCACCCAGAACAATATTTTTCAGCTATTTCTTTCCAGTGGTTGAGACCTGACCACATTCCTGGTTTAGCCTGAAATTAAAACTGTCACTTCTGCAGAGGTTTCTGTGGTTCCCGTGGTGTCAGAGTGAAGCTTGTTTGACAACACTGAGCAGTTTCACCCTCTGTTCTTGAAAGTGAAGCTCTTCTCATACCCATTAGAGCAAACACATGCTGATAGTTGGTATAAACAGCATTCTTCTATGTTAAAGCCATTTTGTTGGATCCAGTCTGAAGGAGTAAACACTCAATGCCTCAGACTGAGTTGAGCCTGAACTGAGCAGACTCCCAAGCCTGTGGCTGGAAGCTTTCTATCAGAATTGTAAGCATTTATGTAGCACTTCTGTGCAGGTGAGCATGTTATGCTTTGTGACTGTAGCTCAGCATGTTGGGTTTGTAGGTGCAAGTCAGTATCCCAAAAGAGTAGGAATTCTTTAGTGTGCTTTTGGACAATGCAAAGTGCATTTTTCTGCTTTGAGGGTGGGTTTGAGATCCATCATTTCTCAAAGGGGAACTGAGCTGCAGAACTCTTGGAACAAAGGTTCTTCTCCCAGAAGTGTTTGGGCACTGGAACAGGTTTAGGTTGGGTATCAGGACAAGGTTCTTGCCCCAGAGGATTGTTTTTAACTGGCTCAGTACAAGCCTGTAGTGCCTGAGCTGCTGTACAAGAGACATGGGATTTGTGTGAGGGCACAGTTACTGCTTCAGTAGGGGCTTGGAGCTGGGGTGGCATTTGTAAAGCAAGTCTAAGACCACAGCCTTATCAGGGAAATCTCCATGTGGGAATAGTACAGCTCTGCTAGCTGGATGCAGAAATAAAGACAAATGTGCCTGTTTAAGAACAAGGGCCTCAACTACTGTTTGCCTTTTGCTGTCCCATTTTCCAAACACTTTCATAGAAGTGACTGTTCTAGGCCGAGTGTGTAGCAGAGACAGAAATTCAGAATGATAATGATCTCTGCTCACTGCTAGCATTTCTGTGTCCCTCCTCCCCAGTAACTGATGTGCAGTAGGTCATGGTTACTACTGCTGAGATGAATGTGACAGCAGTGACAGCATTTAGAGCAGCGTTTGCATCCCTCCTGCAGTCTGAAGGTCGGAGTCACTGACTGCTGAGCAGGGCAGAGGGGGCTGGGGAGCAGGCAGGAAAGATTTCACAGGATCATAGAACCCATCAGGTCAGAAAAGATCTCTGAGGTCATCGAGTCCAACCTGTGACCTAACACTACCGTGGAAACTAGGCCATGGCACTGAGTGCCTTAAGCACCTCCAGGGATGGTGACTCCATTTTTCGCCATATTAATCAGGGCAAGTTCCACCACTCCTCACACACACCTTCCACCTCCTGCACTCATGCACAGCCTTTGCTCTGCTGGAACAAGACACATGGTTGGTTGGTTTTGCTGCTAAAGGTCTGAGTTTATGTGAAACTGAGCAGTTATTGGTTCATCCTGTCTTTCCCCAGGTTATGCTGTGGAACCTGCAGAAAGCTCGCCCCTTGTGGACCACAAATCTGCAGGAGTGTGGCCAGGAGGAAGAGAGCCCCCAGGCTGCTGGGCAGTTCTTCAACCCCCCGCTGGCACATTCCCTATCCGTTGCCTCCTGTGGGAACATCTTTGGCTGTGGAGCTCAGGATGGCAAAGTGAGAATATTCCGAGTCACCGGTGCGAAGTTTGAACGTGAGCTGGAGTTCCAAGGACACAGCCTGGGTGTCTCCCAGGTCCTCTTTCTGCCAGAGACCTACTGGCTGTTGTCTGGAGGGAACGACGGGAAGGTCTTGCTCTGGGATGTCAGCAGTGACGTTGGAAAGCAGCAGAAGAGCCCAGCAAAATCTCTGCAGAGGAGGAAGGCCCAAGCACCTGCTTCCAGCATAAAAGATGGGAAGCCCAACAAAACGGCCTCAAATGAAGAGGCTGGAGTTGTGCCAAAGCTCAGCATAGAGCACGGAGATAAGGTGAACTGGCTCTCGTGTGCACAGATCAAAGGCTCCAGGAGAGTGTTAGTGGCTGACCAGAGCAGCTCTGTGTCACTGTATCCACTGCCAGAGCTGTAGACACTGAGGAAGGGGTTTAAAGAAAATTGGGGATCAAAACCACTTCTCAGAGCTAGTGACACCCACTGACAGTGACCTGGACAGTGAACCTAGTGGCCATGCCCCTTGGAAGGGATTTGCTGTGCACTCCTGGTGTCCTCATGCTACTTCCTGTGGCTGTCATATTCACAGCTGCTGCCTCTGCCAGGGGTGGCAGTTTGCTGCTTGAATCTAGGTGAAATGGGTGTCAATCTATCTAGGGGTGACATTAGTTCATGGCTAAGGTGATGTAACTAAGGCAGGAGGAGGAAATTAGCACTGAGGGGATAGCCACAATGAGGGTGCTGAGCAGCACCAGGGCTGTCCCTGGCTGAGCTCCGTGTGGTCTGAGCTGTTGCAGTGACTCTCCCTGTTGAGCTGTGTCCCAGTTGGTTTCAACTGGCTGTAGTGGAATCTGTTTTCCATCACTCTGTTGGCAGCTGCAGATAAGACTAGAGAGTCATCAATTAACAAATAATCAAATGAGCTTCCCTGTCGTTGCCATTTGATTTTGTTGACACTGCAGTACAGGAAGGAGCAGAGGAACTGTGAACACCTGTGTGATGGCTCAGTTGTCTTATGCAGTTAGTTGTTTATCCCAGGGAAAAAGAACTCTTACACTTGTCTTAATAAATGCTTTCTCTCTCACTGCTGCCTTGTGCTGAGTGTCACTCTAACAGTGTCACACTTACCCTTTTGGACACAACTTTGTGTGTTGTGCCCCCATCACAGGGGGAATACCCAAGGCCAAAGGCACAGCTCCTCCTTACCCAAGTGCTTCCTCCCTCTTCCCAAAGCTTTGGAAACACAACAAGCAGAACTTGCTGGAAGCATCTCTTGGTTTGCAAGCTGAAGGTGGGGAGAACTAAGTGGGAATGCTGCAGCTCTTGATGTGCCCAGTTCATGCTGGATTTCCCACTGGGGAAATCATTAAAAAAGGTATTTTTTTCCAGGCTCTCCTTAACCTGTCACAGAATGGAATTCCTGGGGCTGTCTGAGGACCTGCTGCACTGATGGGGGGTTTGTGCTGCCTTATTTCACCAGTTGGGCTGTTACCACATTATTACTATGAAAGCATTTCTAGCTCTTCCCTTTGTATACCCAGCTCCCAAAACTCCTTAAGGCAGTCATGCTGCCTCTCCATCCCTTATGGAGGAGATTCCAACCGTCTTGGATTTACTCAGAGTGGCTCCCTGCAACCAAAAACAACTCATTCTCATCCAAGTCTGATTTCCCCACCAGACCTTTGTTAATTAAAAACCCCGAGGCAATCTGTTCGTGCAGCCTCTCACAGCAGGAGGCTCTGGCCCAAGGCACCAGTCGTGGGTGCGACGGCCAAACGGAGCTAAGGTGCAGCAAACAAACAGCAAACGGTGCAGGCACCTCCTCTGAAGCAGTTTATGGATGGGGACGCGGGATCGGTGGGGCAGAGGAAGGTGTCTGGGTGCATGGCTTGGTGTATGCTGTATCCATGACCTATATTTGGATACAGAATCTATAAAAAGCCTCGGAACAACCAACCTCCTGCAGGACTTGGATCCCCTGTCCCTGCTGTTGCTGCTGGCTTCAGAAGAGAGGAGCAAGCCTGCTCCAGCTTTCATTTCTTCCCTTGGTGTTCTCCAGGAAGATGGCTAAAGCCAGCATCTCCCTGCGCTCCCTCAACGAGACGCTGAACAGGTCACTCGGGGTTGGGCTCGCACCGTGTGGAGGCACAGGGAGGGCTGGGGCAGGGGACAGGACACCAGGTGATCCCTGAGCATGGCAGACCTGTGCTTCCCTGGAAACTTCCATGGGTAACGGGATACACATTGCGTGTACGCAGGGAGGGAGCAGGTCATGAGGAATCTTATTTCTCCTTCACTCGTTGGGGAGGGAAAAGGGACAGAGCCACCAGCTCTGTCCTGGCTGTTTGATGCAAGATCCGGGCAGTGGCTCCACCAGCAAAGTGCTGTAGCTGCATGAAGTGTTGCTAGGAGATCTGTAACTCACACGAAATTTAGGTTTGCTGTTGTTAGTGGAGGACTTGAGTTTCATGAAGTGCCTCAAGAGTCTGGAGGGTTCCAAGATGGGGAGTAAGTGGTTATCATTAACAAAAGAAAACCACAAGAACAGACCTTTGTTATACGTTTAATGCAAGCAAATCACCGTGGCTGGGGAATGGGGACATAGGCAACGCTGATTCACCCTCCCTTTCCAAAGCCTGTCCTCAGCAGAGGAACGTGACAGCTTCACTGGCTTCCTGTAAGACAATCTGGCCCCAGCTGTCCCTGGCACCATGTGCGCAGCTGCGCCAGGGCAGCAGCCACTGGTGGTGGTGCCTTGGGTCAGAGATGAGCCATTTGCATGGATCTTCAGGAGAAAAGAGACAAAAGAGGGTCTGAAATTCCCCACAGTTAGAGACAGGTGGAATACTGTTCCCTTTCTGTGGATTTCCACATCCAGATTTTCATATTACTGTGAGGGTAGGGAAGCACTGGCACAGGTTGCCCAGAGAAGCTGTGGCTGCTCCATCCCTGGAAGAGTTCCAGGCCAGGTTGGATGGGCCTTGGAGCAACCTGGGCTAGTGCAAGGTGTCCCTACCCATGGCAGGGGGTGGGACTGGATGAACTTTAAGGTCCTTCCAACCCAAACCAGTCTGGGATTCCACATGACCTTTAAAAGCACTGTGCACATGGTATCAAGATAGAGGTTTAAAAGTCAGCTCAGGTGTCATCCATACAACTCTGGCTTGCCTGTAATAAAAATATTCACTACCTAGAGCACTTCTGTTCAGGAGATGAATGATTGCATGTTGACAGACAAGACAGCTGATAGACTTGGAAAGAAACTGCTCTGCTCGTCATGATACCTCATGTTGGTCAGCTGTGGCTTTATGATTCACATGATGGTGACCACAAAAATAGATTGCAGAGACCTGACTAGAAGGACAAACACTCCTGAAAGAAACAAGTGAAAATTAAATTGGTAGGAAACTGTTTAAAGAAGGGTTTGTGTAACCTACCACAGAGGGAGTGTGCAGGGGCAGCTCGAGTGCTGCATTGGCCTGGGAACAGACCCCACACAGCAGCTCTGAAATGTCACTTCATGTAGATGCCTGAATAGCAGCAGTAAGGTCACACACACAGCCACATTGCAGTGCAATGGGAGTGCTCCAGCTATTGCTTTACAAAAGCTCTCTGGTAAAGAAAGGGGATGTGGTTTGTGTGTGGAGTAGTCAGAGGTCACTGACTCGGTGGTAACTTCACTGACACTGAAGGAAAAAGTGTCCAGAGGTTGGGGTTGAAATAAAAGCAGGAGTTTTAATCCATCCCCCCTAGTTCCATTCCGATCTCGGGTGGAGAGGCAGCAGCAGTGATGCCATCAGGACTCACTGGCAGCTGTAGGAGGTCAGGGATGGAGATGGGCCTTGCCGTGGTGAAGCTGAGCAGGTGCTTTTAGAACCGAGTTAGCAAATGCTGAAATGTTCATTACAGGTGCTTAAAAATCCAGGAGATTAATTTACAGCCAGGCAATGTACCCCAAAGAAGTGCTGGAGAGACCAAATGAATCAAAGACTAAAGCATTGGACTCAAGGCTCTGCAAAACAACTGCTGCACTGACAGTAGTGATGAGATCTTGAGTAACTTTACTCTTACTTGTAGAGGAAAAGGTTTGGAGAATGGGCCATGAGGAAGCTTATTTACCACGATAAAAAGCTGCAGATCAGGGAGTAATTTACAGGCAGTTACCTTCCCCAGGACACTCACTTTCTGACAACTCTCCTCAGACAGCAAACACTGTGTAGTGTTTGTGAGCTGATACAGCCTGAAGTTCTGCCAGTAAATGCAAGGAAAACCACAACAGTCCATAAGGAGCAGCAGATACTCTGTTCATAAACAGCTTGTCAGTAGGTAGCACCGAGATAGCTGCTCAGTGTTTAGAAAGGAACTTCGAATGATTTACACTTTGATAGCTTTGAGATCTTCAGGATGCTCAAGAACACGGAGATAACTGTCTTTACAATTCCAGCCCTCGAGGGACAGAGCCCAGCACAGCCTCTGTCTCCAGGAGGGAGAGATGAGCACAAAGCACCAACACTTCCCTTTTCCTTCGTCCCTAACCTCTGCAAACTCCTCTAAACCAGGCAGTTTTCTGCAGCAAAAGTGAAGCAGCTCAAAACTCAAAAACTCATCTTTGGGGTTACAATTTACAGTTTTAACTAAGGAAAAACACAGCAGACACCAAGTTATGAAGAAGCAGCTACAAACACAAGCCATGGAGCAGTTCTTGTCACAGGGCTGTTCTGTGGAAGGACAGGCACACCAAAGGGCAAACCAGAGCAGGGTGAGCTGAGGGAAGAGAAAAACACTGTGCTTAACTTGTTTATTGTCTGTATTGCTTTCATCCTGAGGAGAAATGGGAAGTCCTGCAAGGCATCGAATGAAAATGGTTCAAGACATCATGGTACTGCAAATAAAAGCATGAATCACCTCGAAATGTGGTAGAGGAAAAACCTGTGCCACTCACAGTGCAAATGGTGGACACCTGCAGGTGTACCTACATACTAGTGTCGCATCTGTCTTCAGAGGTTTTAAGGTCTCTGCACAAGGGAAGGGCCAGAAAGACACGGGAGTTTGAGTGGTGTACATTCTCACAGCACTCGGGGGGAGCCTCGGATCAGGGCTTGGAGCTGTTCACAGTGCAGAGAGCCCCAAATCCCTCTGAATTCCTTTACTCTTGCTTTCCACCCCTCAGAGTTGAAGCCAAGCTGCAGGGCCTGGAGGTTCAGTTCACAGAGCTCGACTGCAGCCTGCAGAGCCTGGCACACAGCTTTGACCTGCAGGCCAAGATGATGGAGCAGGACCTGAAGCAGGATGTGCCATGGGCATCTGGGGAGAGGTGAGCGCAGCCAGGGATGGCCCCAGGTGCTCCAAGCCCTGTCCAGCCTAGCCTTGAACTCTTCAGGGTGCTCCAATACCCATCCAACCTGCCCTTGAACACTC